TATTCAGGGTGAAAATTTGCATATTTGAGCGGTCGAACGAAAGAACTCATTTCTCAAAAACTAAAATACATTTTCACAAAAAAAACCACACCACAGTTATTAGGACATATTGGGCTACAAAATGTGAAAGTACGGGAGAAAACGAATTTGGGCGACTTGCCGCTATTTGTCTGATGCATGTTGACATTAGCTCTTAATATTTTTCTGAACGATCTGTTCTCTTATATTAATCGTGCTTATTTGTCCAACTATGCCGATGATAACCAAATTTTTTTAAGTGATCGCGATCCTGAGGTGGTCCGTAAGTCCGTAATCAATGGCGATATCGCTGTCGCAAGTCTTTGGTTTGATGATAACAAGCTAGTGCTCAATCCCGAGAAATGTAAGGGTATTATTCTTCGAAAAAGCTATCCTGGTGATCTTTCCTTTAGTATTAATGATGTGCAGGTTCCAATCGTAGACCATTTAGATCTTTTAGGTGTAACTATCGATAACTAGCTAAATTTTAGCAAACACATTGCCAAGATTACTAAGAAAGTTGGAAAGTAGTTAAATGTTTTGAGCAGACTTAGGAACATGCTATCAATTTCCTTGAAAATGTGCCTCTACAACTTGTACGTAATGTCTTACTTCACTTACTGTTCTGCTATTTGGTTCAACTGTAATGAGTCTGATAATCAGAAGCTGGAAAGGCGAGAGTTTTAAGGTGTGTCTACAACAAACGGGTGCCCCTTTATGATAATTATGACTACGGTTTAACTTTGTCTAATCGTCGACTACAGGACATTGCTATATTGATTTTTAAAGCTGTAAACGGCATGTAATCGGAAAATAAGCGACTTGTTTATCGTACGAAATAATGTGAAAAACTTAAGAGGCACCAACAAGCTCGTCGTCCCATGTAAGAATACTACAACCTTTGGCTTAAAATCTACATCTTTTATTGGTGCCAAAGTGTGGAATTCCTTACCGGATGAACTACGCTCAACGACAATTCTTAAGGAATTTAGGAATGCTGTAAGAGAGCTACATTTGCAATGTACAGTCTATTAAGATCTTCTCACTGTTATAATTTTAAGAGTTAAGATTGTTTACTTACTTTAAGTAGTTGGAAAGTTAGTCATTAGTCATTTTTCAATTTTTCGTTAGTTTATTTTACTGTTCTCGGCATATTAGCACGTACTGCCAGGGGCCTAATCAGCCTCATTAACCCGAGTTGAAATAAAATTACGTACCTACTTACTTAATTCGCAGGTCCTTTTGTTAACGAAGAAAAGTCCCATTTGCAACCTATGCAGATAAGCGAATGGCTGGGTTTTGTAATCAATACCAATACTATGACTTTTCAAATTCCAGAGAAGAAGGTGCTCAAGCTTAAAAATCTTCTGAGCACCGCAATCACGGACGAGTCGTCTTCGTATCGCGAATTTGCTAGAATAGCGGGCTCCATAATTTCGCTTTCCTTAGCAGTGGGTCCTATTTCGCGTCTTTTCACCTGACAAATGTACCTAGCGATCGAGTCTCGATCAGGATGGGATCAAACCTTTCGTTTCCCTGCAGCACTTTTGGAAGAGTTGAAATTCTGATATTCGAACATCGGTTCATTTAATGGTTACTCTCTTCGACCTCCGCCTGACACGTCTACCGTCATATTCTCTGATGCAAGCGATGTCGCCTTTGGCGGGTTTTCAGCATCGTTAGACGGTTTAGCGGCCACCGGTATGTTCACGTTTGATGACCTCGGTCAAAGCTCTACTTTCCATGAGCTGAAAGCTATCTACTATGTGTTATTGTCCTTCGCGGGCCAGCTTACGCACCAGAGGGTAAAAGTTTTCACTGATAATCAGAGAGCTTCCAGAATAGTGTCCATAGGTAGTTCTAAAGTTCGCCTCTAGTTGGTTACATTATCTTTATTTCAGTTTTGTTCTGCACGGGATATATCCCTCGAATCATAGTGGATTCCCAGATCGCTGAATGAGAAAGCTGATCAGCTCAGTAGGTTTTGCGATAAAGATGAATCCATCTGTTTTCCGGCTAGTGAATCGGTCGCAATCGACCGTTTTGCAACCTAGGACAATGCTTAGCTCCCAAGATTTAACTCGAAGTTCGCTTCTCCTGGTTCCAGTGGGGTGAACGCCTTGGTGCAAGACTGGAGTGGTGAGAACAATTATATTGGATTTGTCCTCCAGTCAGCCTCGTGGTCGATTCCGTCCGTCATCTGACATCATATGTTAGTCGCACAACCCTGATCATTGCAGAATGGCCCTCGTCGTATTTTTGGCCTTTTTTACGCCAGGGATGTCAGTTTAAGCCTTTCGTGGTAGAAGTTTTTGCCCTCCCGGCGATGAGCAACCTTTTGCTAGAAGGGCCAGGACAGAAGCAAATTTATAATCACATGCGTCAGTCTTTCGCGGCTGCCCAAAATTCAGAATGTTATAGCTTTACGCTTAGATTTTCAGCGAGTTTCTTTTCTATATCCGCGTAGCATAGCATACCTTAATTGGCGTGCATAATTTATTTTTTGCGTTTTTTGACACATGTGTTTGGGCCTCTTTGGTCCGTGTTTTTGGCCGGAGTTCGTCCATGCTTTTGGCCTGATTTGGCCTGTGTTTTTGGCCTGATTTCGCCGTATTTGTGGCTAGATTTGGCTCGTGATTATGGCCTGATTTTTCCCGTGATTTTGGCCCGATTTGGCCCCTACTTGTGGCCTGTTTGGCCCGTAATTTTGGGCTGATTTGGCCGAAGATCAAGTTGTTTGAGCGTTTTGGGGGGATTTTTTCCCTTTTCGGTTTTATTATCAAACACCTATTCAAATTAAATGGTTTTGAGATGACTCCTTGTTTTTGTTTCAGACGTTCTTCTTTCCGGGACCAATCATTACGTCGTTTGGTTCCAGGCCTTCTACGTTTGCAGCTAGGATCGAAGGCTCCCTCCACTGTGTCTATGTATAAGTCAGGCTGGTTAAAATGGCGGAAGTGGGCTTCTTCGAAGAATGGTAAACCTGTAAATCTGGCCAAGCCTTTGTATATCGCCTTGTTTATCAATGAACTTACGAACATTTGTGTGGAAAAATTTATGGGTGTGTCACCCATTGAACTTACGCTCTATGGAGGGTCATACTATGGCCGGGATGGAATCTTGCCCCACTGGTCGTCCACTCGTGAAATCATCTGTCGAAGGGAGAGATAAGTTTTGTTGATAAGTGCAGCGAAAAGGAAGCTGGCTCGTCCAGTGCAGCCAAAAGAGCCTTTGTTCGCAGATAGAGTCCAAGCAATTGCTGATGCTTGAGGGTCCGGGACTGGGCTTATTTAAAGGCCTGGATCCGGGAATTTAAAATAAGAGGGGAGCGAGATGTGGGATTGCTATCATGAACGGGACTCGGGAATCGGCGTTTTTGAGGAGCGGGATTCGGGAAATAATCACTTAAACGAACCGAGAACCGGGATGTCCGTTGACGAGAATTTATGAAGAAATCGATCTTCTCAGTCCACGAAAAGCACCAGGCGAACAGGCTCTCTAGCATTCAGGAGGCGGTCGGGCTGTTCAGTGACACTCTTCGAGTTATTGTGCGGCAATGAAAATTATATCAGAAGCGAAGTTGCCAATTAACCAAAAATCCTCAATGGCCCAAAGGGTAACAAGGCATCTAAGACTGCTGCGTCAGTTGAAATGCTTAACGGCCTCGAAAACCCCCACGGTGTTAGATTACCCAAGAAACTTTGCAAATGCAGCAAAAGATGGCTTAAAGGGGACAACCCGTTGGGCGGTGTACTATTTTACAAATCCAAATTCTTGGTATCCTCTACTTGAACGTGCCATGATCCTGTCGGCCATACCAGCAATTCAACTTGAGACGGGAAACAACGGTGGCAATAGCTGGAACTCCCCCTTTGTACCTCTATCAGAGAGAAATTTAGCCAGGCGAACCGGTCAGCCTCGAACGCTCTGACTTCGAGGAGCAGCAAGGAAACAGCAGAAAACAAGACGAATAGGAAGATGGAATATTATCGTACGATTCCCCGTGTGATGATGGTTACATGGTGACATTCCATCTTTGGAACGAGAGGCTGATTTTTACCTGGGAAGATGAAAATCAGCTTCGAAAGAAGTATTTGCTTCAACTGCAGTGTAACGGCTGCCACGCCTTTGCCACCGGACATTGATTCGCTTTAACTTTGATTCGTGTTAAACCGCAACAATGATGTTACTGTTTGTCCGTTAGGGACGTGATCTTTTAAGTTCCACCCGGAACTGCATTTTAGTTGGTTGTCTTGCTTTGGGCTAATGATAAGACGTGTTTACCGGAAGAGCGCCTTTTTGCCCACCTTATCTTGAAGTTCGTTTTGGTTAAACTCTTACAAGCGGGACTGTTATGCAAGTGCCTTTGTTCCTTTTCTTTGTGCTTGTCTAAATATCTAGTATTTTGGTAGTTTCGCCTAGTTTTTACACAATTTTCCTTATCGCTCGTTTTCGCAACCTTGTAACACGTGGCTTACGTTGTTCACGCTTCGTTAGAACGCTACACGTTTTTCCCACTTGGCTATTAGTTTTTGTTAGAGTTCGTTTTCAAGCGGTTTTCCTTTATCCTTTTTTAAATTTAGCTCACCTTTTTCCTTACTACGTTAAATAAAACGATTCAAGGCTTGTGCGCAAAATATATCCTCGCCTCATAGTGTCTTCATTTGCGAAACTCGTAGTTGTCGTCGAAAAGTTGCTTCGCTTCTGTCGTCGGCTACAAGCAGAATTGTGTTCAATTAAGTCTTCTTTATCTCCCTTGTTATGAAACTATGGGATTGCCGTCATCTTTTGTGTTTTATGCACTTATTGACATTGTTCTTCGTTTCTTTGATACCGACCTGTATGTATTAATTCGTTTGTCTGTGATCGAAGTTTAACGGAAGGAAGTCGTTACCGTGACTAGCGTATGTTATTCGGGCAAAACTTTGAAAACTTCTAAAATAAACGATATCATTACCCTTGTTCGTCGTATGGTTGAGGCTAAGTCTCGCGAATATTTCCACTCTAGCAAATAAGTTTCCGTAACTACGCTAAGAGATAATTTTACAAAGCACATAGAACCTTTCGTGGACGATGTTTCCACGTTCGGTATGCATAGTATTAAGTCTGGTGCCGCCTCCAACCCCGCTTACGGACGTATTCCAGGTGACCTATTGGATATACACGCGGGGTGGAAGTGTCCTTCTTTAAAGAGTAGATGTATTAAGCACACAGAACACATATCCAGCTTATTATTACAAAATGTAGATTTCTAGAATTTTCTAGAAAATTCTTTCATGCTCCTTAAAGTAGCGGTGATATAGATAATTTATCAATTTCCAGCTTTTTCTAGTATATTCCAGATTTTCAAGACTTTTTCAGCATTTATTCCAGGTTTTTCAGGTGTTTACTTCATGATGATTCACTCTGACTAATGACTATAATAACTTTTACTTGCCATTTAACCATTTCAATTAATTTATTAGATGTATAAAACAAGGCTAAGCCCGTAATTTACCATGAATCTTACCAGGCTTTATGTTTGTAGAATTCACATGCCCAACAAAAACAAGAATCATGTTTTTTTTTGCCAGCAATACCCTGAACAAATTTCTTTGAAATTCTATGAATTATCCAAAATATGTTACATATTAAAGTCTTTTCTTTGTTGCTATGACTGTCCTGAACTAAAATAACATTGTCTTTTTTGATAAAAAAAAAAACAAGGACAATAAATGTTTCTCATAGCTCTCTCTGTTCTTGTCCTCTGCATTTGGCCTTGTTTTCTTTATTTGCTCTGGCCTTCTTTAGAACCAGGCCAAGGTTCTTTCTCACAGATGACCTTGTAGCTGCAGTGAATCCTTTCCTTAGCACAATACCTGTAAAAAGGAAAAAGCAAATGAAAGCAGTTTAAGTAAAAAGCATGTTACATTTGAAACTGTATAGTGCAAAACATAAATTATACAAAGGAACTCTTGCTGAAAGAACTTTAATTATTTTTAATCACATGTTAATTACTGAATTTGTAATTGCTGAATTTAAACCAGTAAATAGATGCAGTCAGCTTACATGTGTGTATCCTTGTTGCCACCCAATTCAGATTATGTGGTGATTCATTCAGGAGGCTGCAATTGTTCTGTTTGTAGATACTCCCTTGCACTCCGTTCCATGCGACAAATTGCACAATCTATTAACTGCACCCTCTCAAATGAATCTTCAGGTAATTTATATTGAGTGGCAAAAAGGCTGTAAACACATACATGTAAGCTGGTTTGCCTATGTTATTTGAAGTGCAAATGTAATTGGAAATGTTGACCATTTCACAGCATGTAATATGACAGTATGTATGTGCAGTATTTTGACATGTGGCCATAACGATGAGAACTTTTCTTTCAGCTTCTGTCAATGTCTGGTGCATATATTTTTAAACAAAAGTCAAGGAAATGCTGCCAAGACCTGTGACACAAAACCACAAATTCTAATTAACCAATTTAAATGTTTTGAATTTAGCAAAGATATTGGGGTAACTATTAGCCAATTTCTAACAAAAGATGTTACTTTTATCAGGGAGACCTAGTTACATGCTTGAGAGACCAGGAGATCCATTCTGTATTTAGGACAGTTAGCACATACAGGTGTATAGAAATAATTAAAGAAATACACCTTTAAAAATTAACTCACTTTCTAAAATGCTCCACCTTGATGGACTCAGGCCTGGTCTTGCTTCATAATCTTTATTGCACTGTAAGCCAGTAACTGATGAATTCTGCAGTTCCTCACTTGAGAACAGCTGCCTTGCTGGTGCCTCCACAGCTGACTTTGCATCGGTAGCATCCTCTATTAACTTGACCAATGTATCCTGGCAACAGTTTTGACATGAAAAGACATTAACAAGAGAGCATAGACATAAAGCCAAGAATGAAAAGAACCTTCAAAATCGAAAAACCTGTTTGAAGTCAAAATTCATAAGATTTATGTTTTAACGAGCATTGATGTGAAGACCAAACCAAGGAATTCGAAAGAAAACGGGTTTACCAAGCATTTGTTGCACTTCATGACGAAAATCAATGCAATTGAGAAAAATACTGGGTGTATAAACTCACCAAATATTGCAAGAACATGCCCCTGAAACAACATGGGTCTCTTTGTCGCCGGATCCGTTCCTTGCAGTGAACATTCATCTCCTTCTCTCACACTGAAGGGATCACAAGCGATGATCTTCGAGGAACTCTGCGCCTCCACTCCCCACGATTCCCAGTCAACAACAACGTACTTGTACTTGAGCATTTTCGGAAATCAAAACTAAACAGAACTCAGCTGAACAGGTTGAGATTTCAAGTTAAAACGCACGCCAAGGACGATCACGGTAAAACACGGGGAGATATGAATGTCACAGCGCGAACAGACGCTTCCAAATTCAAATCTGGCGGGGCTTTTGCTTTGATCGTATCGAAAAGCTGCGGTCACTCCAAAGTCGGCGATAAATATCACAATCTGGGATGAGTCGAAAATGACCATGTTTGTTTAGTGAATGCCGACGAATTTCACCGCTGACCAGGTGATTGCTGAAACGACAGCTTTTCCGCGATCGCTGTGGACTGTATCCTAAAGAGAATTACTTTTCTTTCTGACAACCTCAACAGTAGGTGTGTGGCAAGGGCTCCGAAATGCTGCGGTCATTGTCGATAAAGTTGTTTTTAATTAACAAAAAGGTGAGTCATTTACTTATTTATCATTGTACTTGTAGTGTTAAGTATCTTTCTGCAAAGATTGCTCTTCATAACGTGAGGCCTGACAAAAGCAACTATTCTCAAGGTGTCAATGGTAGTCACAATGTGACTCACAATGTGACTCACAATGTGACTCACAATTGTTCATTCTTAAGAAAAATTTGGACTAAAACACAAACAGGAAGACAACAGAAACAATCAATTTTAATTTTATCTTGTATTTTCATTGGTGTAAATGCCCTTATACGATTTTCTTATTCAAAACTCAGCAGTGAACAGAATAGACTTTTTCACAATTCCCAGCGCCATATTGAACATGCAACCGCGCACACGTGAGAACGAGGCTGGGGTTGACTCGTATTAAATCTCTGTTTGCGCTTTGAGTGAAATTCATACGTGGACAGTAAAATTGTTCGTTTTTTAAGGAAAATGGATGGTCCTAGCCGAAATGTCGATAAAGCTAATTTTTCTCCCAAAAAGAAGAGAAAGCAGCGTGCCGCTTTTGGTTTTTCAAATACATTTTATGGTCCCAATGGTTTGCCTACGAGCTTTCACTTCTTCAAGTTTATGCACAGAGGCATGTATTTTTGCTAAGTATTTATCGTTCTATACTTATCTTATTCTCTGTGAATTATGGATGAGGATAACTATCGTTGCAAATTTAGTACAAATTTTCTATTAGGTACCTGAATTGTTTTAAGTTCAATAGAGTTTTTTTTTATTCCGGCAGTGAGTCAATAAGTTCAGTACTGCTCACCTGTTTACTACATGGCTTGCCTAAAACACTCCTAGTAGAGAAACTCTTGAAAAGTAATTGCTTTTAATAAAATAACCAAGACACTGCATCTTTCAAATTTTCACTTATTATGGCAGAACCAGAAAACTAGCACAAATTTGGTAGCAATTGTGACAAAAGCAGTTTTCAGTAGTTGTTGTTTTTGTTTTTTATGATAGTATAGTAATCCACTATGGATGCCACATGGAACTCTCATGAAATATTTTGTGTGCTTTATGTATCAATCAATTTGATGCTTCAAATTGAAAAAAAAGAAAAAGTGAGTTTCACCAACTAAAAGAGTTCTCAACTCAAAGATGATCTATGACACTAAATTTTATTATTCACAAAACTGTCCTCATAATAAAAAGTTTGATAGAAATCTCGCGAAATTAATTTCTCATACAATTCGATGGTCTGAAAGATTCTCTTTCAAACAAATCTTATGGTAACTGTAACTTACAGTATAAAATAAATATCTTGATATGGATATATTTAAGTATCTTCTTTACATCTCAAAATTACATTACCATAACATTGGTTAACACAATGTAATAAGAACTAGTATAGCAAACCTTTGTATCAGAAAGCCTCTGAGTGCTAAGAATGGGAATATCAATTCACTGAATGTTTATCACTGACAGAAACTTAAATGTGTGTAAAGGACTAGCATTGTTGAGATCAGTAGCTGAGAGGAAGCATTTCTGTTCTCTTCCTTTGACCCTTAAATACCCAAGATCTGATCATTAATTCCCCCGTCTAGTTGCTACACATTTACTTGTATATAAGTTATGAGAATTTGATGTAAGATCAAGATAACTTCTGCCTGATAAGTTTTAGTATCATCATCTGTTTGCTGGATAGTGTTTGGATATTATAGGGAGAAGTTACATGAATCAGTCACTTTTGGGAGTTTTTAAATTGTCTAGTATTTTGGTCTGATTCTTTCAATGCTGTCTTGCCACCTAATAAATTACTATGAGTCACGAACTGAAATGGTTTTCTATTTATCACGAGCATAAGTTGTCCTGCGCCAGATGGGTATCAAAATATGACATCTGTCAGTTACAGTTTCCCTCTTGGGTTGATAGAAAGAAGGGTTATAATCAAGTGGTTCTGCAGGCTCTGTTGTATAGTTTCCCATAAGATACAATGTACAAATGGCAAACTAAAATACATCTTGGTAAAGAAAATGGGAACAACATCAATTGAAGAATTTTGTGCCACAACAAGTACCACTCAACAACAGCAGCAATAACAAATCTCCTCTACCTAAAGGGTGAGAGCCTTTTCCTTGCTTTTTAAGCCATACTGAACAGCTAGTGTGGTACTTCCTGTAATTCGTTCCTCTCAACACAATGTGGCAATATTCTCATGAAACAATGGGGTAATTGTAAAGCTGAATGAAATTCACCTCAGGTAAATTACTGAGATCGCTTGACCATCCAAGGGCTGAAATCCTTACCATAGTTGCTTTGTATTTGAAGTTGCTCTGGTTTTGTTCTAGGTCCTGGACATCTGTAAGAAGTTCTCAGTTTTTCCACTTCTTGATGGAAGGACGTGTCACATCAGCAAAGCATAAACTTTTGACACTAAGTTGGCTCTAACTCTGGCTGTCGATTTTGAATTAGATTTTAAGATCTCCCTGAGATCTTTTGCTTTGAGTTTCTGGATGTCATCTAATGATGAAATTTCCATTTTTTTGTATTAAAGAACCATTTTAAAGGGAGAAATTGCATTGAAAAGTGCATTAGAACGTGAAATGTCAGCAGATCAGCTGTTTGAAAGAACTGCCGGGTCAACCCAGCCTCATTATCGTGTGTGTGTGGTTACTAATCCAATATAGCGCCAGGAACTGAAAACCAACAATGTTAATCATTGTCTAGATGACTGTATAATCAGACAAATCTGCTAATAAATATTGAATAGTGGCTTTGCATTATGAAAAAAAATCAGCATGTTGAGAATCCATTTTTCAATGACAGGTGACTTATAACTGTACATCAAGTGTACCTGCCCAAAACTGATTGATCTATTTACTCAGGGTTTCCAGAAACATTATTGTAAATATCAAATCACTGATCACCGCTACTAACAAAAAAGAAAAGATCCCACTGATCTTGAAAAGGTAGATCTAGAATTAAAAAAAAAAAAAAAAAGAGCCAATGATAGTTGTGTAAGTTTTACTACTTTGAATCTATTATGTATGGCAAGCTGTAAGGTAAAGTACATCTTTTCATTTTCTTATTCAAGACTTTAAAATAAAATGAAACTGACTAAGCTGACAATTTCTCTCAGTTTTGCTAAATGTAAATTAGTTGTTAACTATTTCTAGCTTATTCCAGTTTCCTGCAAGAAATATAGACTGGAAAAAGCTATCAATTTCTGGCAGCAGCTAATGCATGTGTTAAATTCCAGCTATTTCCAGCTTTTGAAAGAACTTAAAACTTGGAAAATGTTTTCTTGAAAGAAGCTAGAATAGGATTCTGGAATAAAGCTGTCATATTCTAGAAATTTCTAGAAACTTCCAGAAATTATCAGAAAGCTGCACATCATTCTTATAGCTACTTAGTTGTAGTCTGCTTATACAGTGTATGTTAAATGTAGTATAGTCTAATGGTGGGAGATGTGAGTTGTGCTTGGCCTGTCTCAGATTTTCTGCCCTATTTTCTTTTAGAGCTTTTTGAGGACAGGTTTTTCTGGCCACTCTGGCACGCTTGCAAATTATTTTGTCAATTCTTTATTTCAATTTGGTAATGCTTGTTTTAACAGGAGTTTGGGTGTACATGTCTTTAAAGTTTGCTCATTGACTCCTGATGCATGGGAACCAGAGCAAGTCAAGGTAACATAAGATGCATACCTTTATTATTTGTAAGCACTATGTTTTGAGTTTGCAACTGTTGTACTGGACAATGCTCTGGCATAATTTTAAATGGGCTTGCATCTTAAAGTGATCAAGGCATAGTCTCTGACTTGGTGATGGAATATTTTTAATTTTAGAGAAAAGGTACAGGTAAAATAGAACTAAATGAATGTTATGTAGTAATTTTAGGTTTTGTTTTTAAGTTAATGACAGAATCAGGAAATGAATTAGTCAACAGAATTCTTGAGGCAAAAGTCAATTCCCATACAAATAAACCAACTCCTCAAAGTAGCAGGTACTGTTTGTTGTTTTAAATATTAATTCCTAAATTTTTATAGTTTATAACATTTTTTGAAAAATAATTATCACATGATTTTTGTTGAAGGGGTGAAAGAGAGACTTGGATCAAGTTAAAATATGTACAACACAATTTTGTTTCCCTGGAAACCTTTCTAAAAAACTGTCAAACTTTGGAAAAAGGGATCATTAGAAATCTTGCAAGATTGAAAGTTCACCATGAGGAAAGGGGCACACATTTGGCTGTTGAGAGAACAGACTCCAAAAAAAGTAAACTTTTCTAAAGGAAACTTGCCATGAAGTCAAAGTCAAAGATGGACAACTGAAAGAGTGCCCCTGTTGAAATACTCTCTGTGGATGTAACAAGTGAAGACTCTGAAAAGTTAGAACATGTTGCTTCAAATTTTCTCAATGATGAGACTGCTAGCAGTGACTCACATGATGAGGACAGACCAGGAACTAGTGCACCATCAACATCATGTCGTGACAGTGAGAGGTGACAGGCAGCCTCCATCGGAGCAGCTATGTCTTCTGACAAGGGTAGAGATAGGGGAGGTTCATTTGATTCAACCATAAGAGAAGATGGTGTGACTCACAAGGCAACCATTTGTGAAAGAGTGCAGAATAATGGCAATGGTGACCTGGAGAAAAGACTGAAGGAGGACAAGGAGAAAGCAATTGCTGTGTTGAAAAGAGTTCATCCCAGTAGGGTATGCACCTTTAATTACCAAATAAAGAGGTCTGCACTATCTATTTATTTATTTGTTATATCATATGCTGTTTTGTAATGTCCTGAGAGTTATTAAGTTGATACTTAGTGGTGATTATTCACCCTTTA